CCCCCCGCCCCCCCGCCGATGCGCCCGATCAGTGTCCACTCCCCCTCACCCGTTGTTTCTGTAGGCGGCGCCGTCGGAGGTGTCTCCCACGGCGCCGGTCGGCTCAAACAGCGCCCCATGACCTCCGCTGAAATCATGCGGCAGCAAATGGGCGTCACCGAACAGAGCGATAACCGCCTACGAAAAACCATAATGCGCACGCTCGTCGGCCAGGTGATCGAATCCCTGATCCAAGAACCTTTCTTTCATCATTCTGGATTGATTTTTCTCATAAAAAACAATCCTTTAACAGGCCGGGAAGAGAGCGGAGACGATCATCCTACCCTTGGAGCTTTTGAGACAAATAAAACCATCGGAATTCCGCGACGCACAGGAGTACCAACAATGGCAACGTCGGCAGTTGAAGATCCTCGAGGCCGGCTTGATACAACACCCTTCCACCCCTCTTGATCGCCTCAACGCATTGGCGCTGCGCCTCCGCGAGGTGATCAGCTCCGGCGAATTGAAACCCATCGACACCAGCAAGAACTCCGAATCACTGCGCATTCTCTGCAACGCAGTCGTCTCCCTCGCTTGGCGTAATCCCAATGGATCTCCTGCCGAGGCCTGCCATTGGGCCGATGGCTTCCCCCTCAACATCCATCTCTATATTTCCCTCCTCCGATCCATCTTCGACCTCCGCGATGAAACCGTGGTGCTCGAGGAGGTCGACGAGTTGATCGAGCTGATGAAGAAGACATGGATTACGCTTGGTATAAACAAGATGACGCATAATGTCTGCTTGGCCTGGACGTTGTTCGAGCAGTATGTAAAAACAGGGCAGATCGAGCAGGAACTGCTTGGCGCGACACTGATCATGCTCGGCGAAATCTCCGGCGAGGCCAAAAGGGATGCAGAATTTCTCAAAATCCTTTCCCCGGTGATGTCGTCGATGCTAGCGTGGGCCGAAAGGAAGCTGCTTGATTACCACACCGTGTTCCGTGGGAAATGCTACGTTGGTCTCATGGAGAAGGTTCTCTCGCTGGCTCTCACCACCGCCAAAATCATGAACGACGACCGACGGAGCTCGGCTGATGAAGACGGCAACGGCGAGGTCATCAACTCTGCTGTATCCCCAATCGAACGCTACATAAAATCTTCGCTCAAGAGCGCATTCACTAAGGTGCGTCATTCTATCAAACAGATTGCATGCAAACAAATAAAGATAATAATAATAATAAATGATTCGTGGATTGAATCAGTTACTGGAGAGCGGGAACGGGAATGGGAACGTGGACAGCATGGTGGTGGAGGTAGACGAAGAACCGAGTGAGACTTTAGTGCATCTGGCGAAAGATACAGAGAGCCTGGTGGCTATAGAGAAGGAGACATATAACCCGGTGCTGAAGAGATGGCATCCTGGCTCTATGGCGGTAGCGGTGGCCACACTCCATAGCTGCTATGGGATTGTGTTGAAGCAGTATTTGGCAAGGATCAGCGTACTGAAAAATGAGACGGTCCGGGTTCTTCAGACCGCCGGAAAGCTGGAGAAGACGCTGGTGCAGATGGTGGTGGAGGACTCTGCCAACTGCGAGGATGGAGGTAAGGGTATCGTAAGGGAGATGGCGCCCTACGAAGTGGACTCCATCATCCTTAGCCTGATGAAGGATTGGATCACGGGAAGATTGAGAATTGGCAGGGAGTGTCTTTACAGAGCAAAGGAAACAGAGGTTCGTGAGTTTCTCGTTTTGTTTTTGGGTCCAGTATAATAATTTTAAAGTATGTTTTGAGAGAAAGGTTGAGCTTTTAAATTCATCATATTTAATTAGACATAATAAAAATTAACGTCATTTTAAACACAAAAATAATAGGTAAATTTTCAATCAAAATGTGCTGATTAACTTATATTTATTTTGATTTTAAGGCTTGTAATATATTTTTTTCTAAATAAATGGGAGCAAAATAGAAGAAGGCGGAGTCATTATTTAGCTTCGCATGAACATCTAGCACACATTCAGGCAATTAAAGTGATAGGTAGAGACACAATAAGTTTTTAAGTTCAAACACCTGGAAAGGGGAAAAAATAGCGAGTTCTAGTCTAGTTTAAATAATCGACTATGTAATGGTGGGTGTATATGCAAAATCTTCTTCTGAATTTGAGAAGATGAAATTATGTAGTTTATGTATAACGATATTTCAACAATAATAGTCTTAATGGGCCGCATGAACGTAGAAGATTGTTATGAAGACAGTAATACGTCATGAATGTTGTAGATGGTGGCTGTAGCACCAGCTTGTCGTAGAGATCATAATTGAAAGTCATGATAGTAGTAGGTCATGTAGTCCGTAAACGTTTTCTTTAGGAGCATTGGTTGGCCATAGGGGCCATAGTAGGGAGCTACGTGAGATTTGAGATGTGTACGCCATAGTTGGTCACATAAGCCTTAACGAGGAGTTGTAATAACGTTTGTAGGCCCCAGAGCCTGATGTTAGGAGCTACATGAGTTGTGATAACGTTCGTAGGCTATAAAAGCCAAAATTAGGAGTTGCGGGAGTTATAGATTACATTCTTAGTTGATCTCATCAGCTGTAGTGGTGAGCTACAAGGAGAGAGCTTTAGGAGTCCGGGAAAAGTCATTGTATTCTACATACGGTGGTTGCAAGTAGTTATTACTGGGTGCGTTGTTACACCATCTTCGAAAAACGTCGTTATAGCTTACACGAGTCGTCCTTGCGCCTTATTGGGGTGCATTGTTGTACCATCTTCTAGTTGTGTTGTTGCATTATATGCGGGGTAAACAATGCATCATTTTCAGGGCATTGTTACACCATCTTCGGTATATGTTGTTACACCATCTTGCGGGTGTGTTGCTCTATAGGATGGTCGGTACTCTACACGATGTTTCGTTACTCTGTTGTGTACGTCAGAATTCCGCAATGCATGTCGCGATTTCATAAGGAGCTTTGTTGCGATGAGCAGAGAGCAGTCGACAGTGATTGATGACAATTGGTGAGCAGTAGCCGATTGTGATCGAATGTGTGGACCATTCGACCTCAACTCCTTCTCCTTCAAGTCTCGGGCTTCCTCCGGTTCAAGATCTAGCTCTCCTTTCATGATTAGCATATGATTTTATTTATATAGTCAATGAGAGGACTTGCGACAAATAAGGAAATAAGGAAAGAATATATACCAATTTATTGGACGACCCGGAGAGATCCCCTTAATCGGATAATATTTTGTGGATATTTGAGCGCCTTATTGACGTCGAACTGAACGATCTTAAACTTGTTGGATTCATCTCATCGAAGCGCTCGATTTGACTGTAATCTTGTCAGATTTGGAATCTATTTGACTTCCAATTTGGCACCTGAAACTTCTAAAAATGATTTAACTGCTTGATGTAAGCTTGATCAAACTCAGATTAGATCATTTAAGCGTCAATAAGTCTTTATCATCGAGCCAGTCAATTTAACTCTAACTTTGCTGAAATAAAAAATCTAGATAATATTCAATTGAAGCTTAAGCGTTCTTTACTAAAAAAAATTATTTAAAGAATTGTGTCACGTCTCGAGATTTATATCGAATGATGAAAATTTTTTGAAAGCCTATCAATTGTCATTACACTCGAGTTAAACATTGTAAGTTAAACTTTTTGCAAATATTATTGAAATATAAATTTCTAAATACATTGCTTATTTTTTTGGAACTCTACTAGTGTTATTGCCGCTTATGGGACACCTATCAGTTATTTATGAGTAGGGGCTCCTTCGGCGAGGTTCTGCATTAGATTTAGCTAGTGTGGCAATATACTAGAAGAGAGTCTCTGAACTGTATAAGTTTTTCAACATCAGGGTATTTTTTATTAAGGTGGCAAAAGTAACTTTCCTCTTAGTGGCCCAACGATGACTCATGAGAAGAAAGCCGGTTGGACCCCGTAGAGTTGTTGTGAATTGCATCAAAGTTCTCTAAAAACACCAAATCATCTGAGAAGGCAAGGAATTTCATGCAGGACCATAAATATGGCCAGTTGAATTCCTTCTCAAGAAATAGTTGTAGGAAACGTCCATGGGAGCTTGCCGCAAACATAAGGAGAACAACAACAAAAAGTTCATGGAAGACTAAAATGTAAGGCATCAAATTAAGTGGGTCTCCCAACACCCAGACAGGGAACAGGGATGACAGAAGAATAAAGCAGCCTGGAGCTAGAGAGAAATCTAAGAGTAGAGGCCAGTTGAGATAGTGAAAGGAGCTACGTTATCCACTTTGCACATCAAATAATCTTTCCTAGTATTATCGCCAGAGGATTCCATGGAGGATAGGGAGATTTCTGGTTGAATCTTGACACCCAAGAGTATACACTAAAATTCACTTACTAGGCCAATCCATCTGCAAAGCGGGTCGTTGCCATAAAGTACAACATTCCAGAAGCAAAAACACTAAATGGATAAAATATATATCCATCGCAAATTTTTATGACACCAAACGTTGATAGTTGTAATGAAAACTTCCTATCAAATTTGTAATAAGCAGACTTCTCCCAAAAAAAAATATGGTATGCAATGAAGTAATATAATGAGAAAATCAGTGATATCATCAAAGAAATAAAGTTTTATAAATGAAGCAAAAAAGACCCAAGGAATTCATGTAACTAATGGTATAGATCTGAGACTTGGTTTGGAGTCTCATATTTGAATTTCCATGTTCTAAACTTGCATTTGATAGCAGATTTTTTATTGTTGAGAATAGTATTAGCATTTATAAATTCTTTCCTGAAGATTTTAGCTTTTCTTTCCGGCCAATTATGATGAGTAATTACTTGCACAACTAGTAGAGAGAAAAGCATAGTGACATTGCAAGTGTGTGTTTCAACGTGAACCGAGAATTGATGGAGACTACAACCAATGTCGAAGAAAGAACGCATAGGGGTTGCATTTTTAAGAAAGGAAAACGTAAAAATGGCACAAAAATAAGAGAAGAGCTTGACTGTATGGACAATTTTTACAGAGAATACATATATTAGGCGTATTGAGACCCATCGCGTTTAGATTATCCATAGTAGCTAAGCCATTGATAAAATTTTTCAAGTAAAATCGACCAATTTGAGAGAGTGACCTGTGAACCAAAGAAGTTTTCTCTAATGCATGAAAGGTAGATCTTTATAGAGATAATTATAAACATTTTTGTGAGCATAAGTGTCTTTCCCCATCAGAGTGCAAGAAGGCCCATACATGACAATGTTAATCCTGATAATATAAGTAATGCATTTAGGGGGAGCAAATGTGAGGGCGGGAGGATACATATATTCCCATGCAATAAGTTTTTAACTGGAGAGTCCTTAGAACAACCACATAAATAAAAAACAACCCCTCCATATTTCTCATAAAGTGAGATCCCATCCACCCAAGATTCCTAGAAGAAAGAAAGATTGCTATTACCAGTGACCTTGAAAGAAAATTATTCCTGACTCTTTTAGTAGCGTTGATAAGGCCTTTCCAAAAGTGATTGACTTGTCATTTTTTATTTGGAAAATAGAATCTTAGTGTGTTAAGCACTAATTAAAAAATGCATTTCCCGAGCTCTATAATTTTCATATGAGTTTAGCTTTGCACATAACATTTAAAGTGTCAAGGTTTGCAAGGCCTAAACCTCCACAATGTTTCAGGCTGGTGATGTTATTCCAAGCAATGATATAAAGATTTTCGTTCATGCTTTCAAAAGGAAGGAATTTATTAATATGAGAATTGATGCTCTTCCTTAAACCTTTAAGAATATATGTGAATCTGAACCAATAGGAGAGAAAACTCCATATTATGCTTCTAATTAGATGAAATCTACCAACAAAAGAGATGAGTTTCTGCTTTTAGTCATTTAAGATATCTTTAACCCTCTTAAATATTTAGGAGCTGATGTAAGCAGTGAGTCTAGAAGAGTTTATAGCAATACTAAGGTATTTCTAAGAAAAGGCTTTTTTTAAAAAAACCTAAGAGTTGAGAAATCTACAATTTACACCCATTAGAAACACTTTTAGAGAAGCATATGGAGGATTTTGTTAGATTAGCTTGGAGGTTAGTAATTCCTTTAAGTCTATAAAGAATTTTGCATAGCTCCATAGCAGAGATGACATAAGTTTTACCAAATACTAACAAATCTTCATCATAAATGAGGTGGTTAATGTTTTTAGGCTTAACTTTATTAGTATTAGTTACCAAATGTTTTTCATTTTAATAGAGAAAGTATTCATAATAATGGTGACTAGATATGGAGAGAAGGGGCAACCTTGTCTTAAACCTGAATAAATGGAAAAGAAACCATGAATCTCACCATTTAAAATTATAGAAAAAGGAATGTCTTTTATGCAAGCAATTATCCAGCCAACAAACTTAGTTCAAAATCCAATCATTTCCATTCTCTAATATAAGAAATCTCCTTTTGATGTCATCGAAAGCTTTTCTTGGGTCAATTTTATCAAAAAATAACTTGACACAATTAGAGGAATTAATACTCTTTAAATTCTCATTAGCAATAGTGATTTTTCAATAATATCTCTGCCGCACACAAAGGTTGCCCGAGTAGAATGAATAATATTAGACTAAATAGACTCGATTCTATCAGCCAAAAAGCTTTGCAATAACCTTATGTAAGGTGTTGTAAAGAAATTATGGCATGTAATCATTAAGTTCCCTTGAATGACTTCTGGGAATCAAAGTCAAGGCAATATGATTGATTAGGTGAGGGTGCTTAGAGGAGGAAAAGCAAAATCCGATAGCATCAATACAACCATTACCAAACTCCCAACAATCTTTAAAACATTTGGATGAGAATCCATTAGGACTAGGGCTTTTATCAGTAGATATACCAAAAAAAAGTATTTTTTTTATTTCGTTATCAAACAAGTATGTCGTAAGGTTCACAAAATCATCAGGACATAAAATTTTATCCTTGTGGAGTAGAGAAGAGGGGTAATGAGATAAAAAATTGTCATCGTTAAGAAGTTTAGAGTAGTAGTTGATGGATTCCTCCTCAATAGATGGTTGATTATAAAGAGAAATACCATTACAAAAGATCTCTTTGATAAAATTCGTTGTTATCCTGCATTTTATTTTTTTATATAGAAACTTTATGTCATCCTCACCTTTAGAGAGCCAAGCACACTTGTTTATTTGTTTGATCCACTCAACCACATAAGAGAGAAAATCAGAAAGCTTAATTTGAGCATTAAGATCATTAGAGAGAAGGTCTTTATCCAGGAGTTTAAATACAATAAAGAATAGATATGCTGCATGGATGCCTTAATATTTGCAATGGTCTTATATATATAATTAGAGGAATTCTAGAGGGACTTCTTAAGGGTATTTTTAAAATCTTTTAACCCATTACATAAAGCAAATAAAGGATCTCCCTTCACACATAAAAGCCAAGCCTGTCTTACAATGCTTTTGAATTCAGGGAAATGGCTCCATTATTTTTTTGTACTGACATCTACAATTTAAAGATAAATCAACCCCTAAAGCGAGAATGAAAGATGAATGCTTAGAAGATCGAGCTTCCAAGAGTTTATAACCAGAAAATTGAAATGAGAAAAAAAAACCACCAATTATTCTCCAAAGCTCGATCCAGAAGACAACAAATATGGTTGTGAGTTTATTGATTAAACCAACTGAATGAAAGTTCATGATTTGAAAGTTCCATAAGACTTGCCTCATCAATGCAATTATTTAAATAAGCCATTTTACTTTTGATTGTTGGAGTGCCACCCACTTTTTCTTTAACTCTCGGGATGCAATTAAAATCTCCAGTCACAATTCAAGGCTGGGAAATAGAAGTAGCTAAAGAGATAAGAGCTTGCTACTAAAGATCTTTTCTTTTAGTTGCACATTTTTCTGCATAAATAAAAGTAATGAGAAAATTAACAGAGGAGAAGGAGATGTAGCCATAAATGTACTATTGTTGAATATCCAAAACCTTAAAATCCAAAATTGCATGGTTCCATTTGACCCAAATACACCCATTCTGAGAAGAATATAATTATGAACAGACAGCTCATTAGGGAAGAAGGAGAACTACCTCATAGAGAGAGGGTTAGAAAGAGATAGAAGGGAGAGGGCTTTGTTTCCAGCAAGCAAAGCAAGTCAAGTTTATGGTCTTTAACAAGATTCCAACTATCAATGATTCTAATATCACTATTAAATCTACTTAAATTCGAAGCCATGATTTTTAGGAGAAGCATAGAGAAATCATCATAAAAGACCATTGAAGATAGAGTGGGTATTATCCTTATTCTTTCTTTTCTTAGTGTTAAAAGGAGGAGGGAGAGAGGAGTCAGGGGGGAAGAAGGTCATGAGGGAGTGGTGGTTTGCTTGTAGTAGTTAGAGGTAGAAAGAGTTAGAAGAAGGTTGCTAGAGGATCAAGTGATACCATAGAAGATGATAAAGATGTTCTATGAGAAGTATGGGCTATATGAGGATTGAGAGGGGAAAAAGAAAACGATTTACTGTTTGATGTTGCAAGGGGAGCGACATTGAGGTTTGAGGTAGGGGTGGAAGTGAGAGGTTTAGGGGGCTGAAGTGAAGTAGAATAGGGATGAAGAGGGAGAGAAAAGGTTCAATTCAAGCTTCAACTTCTAGAAGGTGGGATTTCAGTGTTCATTCTTGAGCGACTCCTCCCTCTTTTAAGAGGGAACAAAGGAGAAAGGTGGTAAGAAGGTGATTTAGGGCATGATATGTGTTTTCACGTGCAAATATGTTACAGGTTCTACAAAGGTAAGGTTTCCATTCGTAGATGAAAAGCTAAATAATATCCTTGTCCTAATAGAACTTGTTATGGAATATGAAAGAGAAGATTGAGTGTGAATCTGAACGCTGACTTAGTAAGTGTAAGTGCATATCCTTTTGCTGTGACAAGTTCTACAACTAAAGGGATTTCATTTTTGCTTACGATTTTAGAAATTTTAATTTTAAACACTAAACATAACTAAAAGTTAGGAAGTTTAATCCATACGGGGATTTCTAAAAAATCTTCTTTGGCGGGTTGAAACTAAGAAGTCCATTTTCTTATGATAAAAGGCTTGCCATTAAGAAACCATGTCCCTCCATTTAAGACCATTTCATAATCTTCCACATAGGTGAACTTAAAAAAAAAGACTAGCCAACAAAATAAGTTCGATCGCACCTTTACATTTTCAGATCTTAGTGATACTTTGTTGGAGATTGTCGTAGAATGGCCTTTTGCCCATAGCATATCTGACAAGCACCAGGTTCACCTCTTCGAGTATTCTTGAACTTTTGCCTCATAAAAAATTTTGTCCTCGTAGGGAGGGATGTAGGATAGATTGAAAGCAGAAGAGCCAGGAAGATAAGAAGGTGGAAACCCAAAAGAAAAATTCTAGGAGAGGAGGCCACATGAAAACACATTTCTTGAAGAAAACTGTTATCTTGAATTATAAGTTGTTGCACAAGAAAATAGATTTTTTTTTTAAGTTGAATTATCATATAATTATGTTATAATCTTATTCATCTTTATTTATGGAACAAATTATAAAAAAATCATTTTTTGCATTTTAAATATAGTCATTAAGCATAAAGAGGGTATGTCAAATAAATAGCACATCAGAAATTTTTTCTTAGCGGAGGCTAAAGAAATTATCATTGTACTTGTAGCAGCCATAATTTGATTTTTTTTTATCATTAAAATATCAAATAGCATGTGTTTTATTAACATATACTATCATTAAGTATAAACTATTAATATGAAAACAGACATGGAACCCAAAATCAAAATCAGAGCCGTACGCACAGTCTGCTGTTGATCTGATGAAGCTGGCAAAGGTGACAGTGGATGAGTTCTTCGAGATTCCGGTGGCTGCAAGGGAAGAACTCGTTCAGGAACTCGCCGATGGCCTCGAAACCCTCTTCCTCGATTACACCTCCTTCGTCGATTCCTGCGGTAATCCCTCTTTTCTTTTCCTTTTTTTTTTTTTAATTAAGTTTATTAGAAACAAATTTGGAGATTTGGTTGCAGGATCGAAGCAGAGCTACATCCCCACCCTCCCACCCCTAACCAGATGTAACCAGGACTCAAGATTCACGATTCTATGGAAGAAAGCACAGACCTTGATCGGCTTAACCCATCCAAAAGCCAAAAAGAAAACCACTCCGGCTGAAAGCCACCATCCCCGGCCATCAACAAGCCGCGCCACCCAACGCTTTTACATCCGCCTCAACTCCCTCCACTACGTCCTCGCCGTCCTCCACTCCATCGACAAATCCCTCTCCTTTTTCGGCCGAAACCCTTCTTCCCGCTCCCCTCACCCCCGCCTCGCCGGCCCCGGCTCCACCTCCCGCCGCCGCATCGCTCCCACTCGTTTCGACCTCGCCCGCTCCTCCCTTCAATCCGCCATCCACCACGTCTCCGAAGTCGCCGCCTTTCGCCTCATCTTCGTCGACTCCCTCCAAGCCTTCTACCAAGGCCTCTACGCCGGCGGCGTATCCGCCGCTCGAATCCGCCCTTCTCTCCGCCTATTAAAACAGAACCTGAACTTAATCGTCACAATTTTAACGGACAAGGCTCAGCCGGTGGCGGTGCGGGAGGTGATGAAGGCGGCTCTGGAGGCGTTTTTGATGGTGTTGTTAGCCGGCGGGAGCGAGAGGGCTTTCGGCCGGGGTGACAGCGAGATGGTGGCGGAGGATTTGGAGAGTCTGCGAAGAGTTTTTTGTACGTCGGGGGAGGGATTGGTGGCGGAAGAGGTGGTGGAGAGGGAGGTGGAGACGGCGGAGGGGATTGTGGCGCTGATGGGTTTGCCGACGGAGAAATTGGTGGAAGAGTTCACGACGGCGGCGTGCGAGGCGAGCGGAATTGGGGCGCAGAAGGTTCCGATGCCGCCGACGACGGGGAAGTGGAATAGATCGGATCCCAATACGATTTTGCGAGTGATTTGCTACAGAGATGATGAGGCTGCCAATCGGTTCTTGAAGCGAACGTTTCAAATGGCGAAGAGAAAGTGAAGATAATAAAATCAACAATATTTTGCTTGATATTATTAAAAATTGATTTTTTTTATTTTTTTAATTTTTTTTTATACTGAATGGTATTGAATAAAACGATAATTTTATAATGATTCTCTGTAAGGGGGGGAATTTGGATGATGAAGGGATGGCAAATGTATGAGAATGTAATGATAATTTATGTGATAAGGGTGGATATGTAAATGTACTTATTGTTTCGGATATATTTGGTTTATTGTTTGTGGAATTGGAAAAGTTATTGTATACCCATACCGCATGCATGTAGAGATGTATGTGGTGTCCGATCTTGACCGTAGATAATGGTATGCAATCAATTTTTTTTTGAAAAAAAAATTTAAAGTGAGCCCCACCGAAATACATCATGATCGTAAATCACCATGATCTACAAACAGGATCGGACACCGCATGCATCTTTGCATGTGGTGTATGTATGCAATAATTTTTCGTATGTGGTGTATGTATGTAATATTTTTCCGTGGAATTGGGACCTAATTTTAAAAATAAATTGTGAATATTGTTTATTTTTGGAAAACTTTATTTGTTAAGGGCATTTGTATAAATACCGCACAATTATGATGTATTTACATAACTAATATCTAAAAATTCATATTTACATGTGTAACCGGGTAAGTTTTTAATATAATATAAAATATATCATTAAGTTCATTTTTAATAGTGAGATACTCAAAGTTGCTATAAATGTTAATATCAAACTTTTGGTGTTCGGATATGTAAATACATAAGAATTATGGAGTAAGTGTTCAAAGTTTCATTTTTTTTAGGAAGGTATTGATGGTTTTCATAGAAAAATTATTTGATTAAATGTGATGTTTAAAGTAAGCTTTAGATTTTAAAATATTCAATAACTCAGATCAATGTAGTTGGGATTGTTTGATTTAAAAACATTCAATTATTCATTTAGAAATGACCAAATTTCCTTTTTAAAAATTTAAAATCAACTCATTTTATTACAATCTTCGAGAGGCGTCGTTGTATTGTTTGCATAGTGCGTTGTTACATCATCTTTTGGAGAAGTCGTTACACTGTTTGTGAGGCACATTATTAAACCATCACCGAAGCGTCGTTGCATCGTACTTGAGTTGCATTGTTGCAGGTGTACTAGACGATGTACTGCTCCGACAAGTGCTTTATTGTTCCGCAACGTACACATGAATTCTACAATGCACATTGAGACTCTACAAGAGTTCACTGCAAGGAGTAGGTTGTGACCGATGGTGGTTAAAGATGCTCAACAGGTCATGGTCGATAGTGGTCGGCGGCTACATAAGCGGGAGAAATCTGCCTGTGCATTGGTTCAAAAACGAGATTTGTGTCATACTTTGAGATTCATGTCAGATGGTGTAAATTTATTGATGACAGGTCACCAGTTTAATAAGTCATCTTCTATTTTTATTCTTCATTCTCAAATTAGATAAATCTAAACTTTATTTTCTTATTTTCAGGTGGAACTTGGCCCTCAACTTATTATTTTTATGTTGCATATTTGGAGGCAAAATTATAAAAAATTGAGTCCAACCATTTTAGATTCCATATGCCTCCGCCCTCCACAGGTAGATATATATAGGACAAGTGAGACTTTTTTTTTTCCAAGTGTGCATTAAAACAGAATAAGTCAATATTATACTAAGAGAAATCAACTACTTCAAAAGAGTTCATTTGATTTGTATTTATATAAAAGAATTAGGTGACTTTCTTCATGAGGATTCTTTTTGTGATCACTACATATTCTGCATTCTTTATATAAATAATATCATATCTTTTTCTCCTTCTTTTTCACTACATATTCTGCATTCTTTATATAAATAATATCTTTTTCTCCTTCTTTTACATCATCCCATTCATAATTTTATTTTGTGTCATCTTTTTTATCTTTTTTTTTTCTTGTCTCTCATTCTCTCTCAATCATTCAAAATTATTCAAAAACTTAGAATTCTTCATTTTATTTTTAACTAATTTGCTATAGACTTGAGTAAACTCTCTACTTTTGCAGTAATCCATAGTAAAGTGGTTGAGATTGCAGTCTCCCATTGTGAGATCGTTGATTTGAATCATGTATGTTGCCCTTCGGACTCACCTTTCCCAAGAAAAAAAAAATTAAAATTTAGAATATTATTATAGAACTTTACAAAATCTTAAAATCAGTTCAAATCTCTAGATCGAACTTGTGTTACTCATTTCTCCTAATTTGTATAACTTAATCCAAACTAATTTTTCAACCGATCAAAAGTCTTTCCATTCAACTCAAATTACATTTAAAGTAATCAAATGGAAAATACCCATTGAAATTAAATTATTATTTCCACCCATTTCTATTGACCTTCTAATGCCATATGCTCTGCATGATTCCAAACTTACATCTCAAGTTTCATATTCAAGGTCCTTAAATTGCCCAACATACATTTACAATGAGTTAATGAATATTAAAATTGATCATGTTATGATAATTAAGCAACAATAGCCTATAAATAAAAGCTAGACTACAACAACCATCATAGAGTAGTTGGGTTACAACAATCACTAGTGGTTATTAGTAATGATCACTGGTGGCCATTGACCTTGAGTTTTGAGGGTCAATTCATAATGTCTGAGAAGGACATTAACAACCTCATAGTTAAATAATCTTGAACTAGTTGAATTTCTCTCATCGAGATGCTCGATTTGTCTATAATCATGCTAAACCTGAAGATTATTAATCTCTTAATTAATATTTTGAAGCTACTCATTATATTTCAAGTGTTTGATCAAATCTCATTTTGGCTCACATTGAAATCACTTTTACTGTTGTAAGTTTCATAATATCAAGATGTTCAGTTTGACTATTGTTGGATCCAGATTTGTCATGTGAGGCATGCCTAAGAATCAGATTCGGAGCAGTAGGTACCTTAAGGGAGAGGTAGAGATAAATAGATAAAAGAGCACACATAGACTTACTTGTAAGGGTGAATTGGGATACTCCAAGTTCAGTGACCCATTTTATATATTGTAATTGAGGGTCACAAAAGAGAGAGAGGAAGGGAGAGAGATCTCCCTACAAGAGTGGGTCTAGAGAGGATCCTAAAGGTCCAAACCTAGAGAGGCAAAAATCACCTTATACATGCTATGAATCCCCTATTTATAATAAATATAGGATCAAAAGGTAAAAAATTATAGATCTGCCCTTGCTTTAATAGTGGCATTACATGGCGTTATTGTCTTTTGTCATTCCTTTTCATGTTTGTACCTCATTGTAGCATTTTTTGATGTTTATAAACCTTCTGGTCGGTAGGTCCTCTAGTCGGTCGACCAAGCTGGTGTTAGTCAGCTATTTTTTCTGAATGTGAATCAGCTTTAACTCTGAGAAGTCAGTCGGCTTTGAGAGACTCGACCAGTTGGTCTAAAGATGGCTGATCGACTTGCTTGTTCTTTGGTTATTTTTGGAGTTCATTGAGCATTTTTTGGGGAGGTTTTAAGAAAGCTTCGTGTTGGTAGTCATGAGATTGTTGGGTGTACAAAAACTTTGTTCAGTCATTGGTGTGAATGTATGTCTCTCGTTGGTCAGTCGTCAGCCTTTAGTCAACTAACTGTTGGTAGGATAACCGTTCTTCAGTTAGTCGACTTTATGAGTACTTGTAGCTTTTAGTCAATGGGATGCTCCTCAATTTGTCTTATTAATATAAACCGTCAGATTATCTCGAGATTCATGCAAACCATTTTTAGTTGTACATATTAAGCTTTTCAATTGCCTTGTTCCTTAACATCGATAGTTGCGTTAAAGAGAAAAAATATTTTCTTACAACAAAACAAATATTAATAGACAAATTTAATGCAAAAATTAGACTCCTTGAACTTTCATGCCCACGACCATTATATATAGGACTTAGGGGGCAGTTCTCATCATATGAAATTTGCCTCTCCTTGCATTCACTCAATTTATGCAATTTCTTCATAGAGAAAGGATATGATTCAGAGCTAAAACTCATTGGTCGGGCTAGTTACAGGTTTCCCTTGTAATAAGGCACCGCTAGCCTGAAGGCGAGCTCAAGAAGAGTAAGTTGGCTATGAAGCCAAAAACTCTATGAGTGAGTGAATGTAAAGGAGTCGTCTGACTCTATATGGCATACTCTAGAGACAGTAGAGAAGTTCCTTGACTCCAGGAGTTGTTGGCCCAGTGTTCGATCCATAAACAAAGACTTCTACTAAAATTTGGATTCAACCAGGGATTATGAGTGTTTCCTCACCAACAGGTTTACCAAGAGTCCATGAGAGTGGCCATCAAATCGGTGAAAAGGGATTAGTTGAAGTCTTCTCATCATCGGATGTAGGCGCAGTTACCTAGTCCGAGGTAAATAAAATCTTATGTATGTGATTTCCTTCGTTTTCCTTCTACTTTGATTTTTTATTCTTTGCTGATCGATTTTTGTTTCTTTTAGATGAGGATGTTCTGATTAGGGTTCTTGTCAATTGTTGGTGCTAGTCGAAATTCGACTTTGTTGGTGGACTCTGCGCCCCAAGCATCGGCTGAGAGCGAGGATAATGTGGTCAACCGCCTAACCAATCTCGTGGTGATTTGGGAGGAAATGTATAAGGGATGCTTGATGTCCCCAAGAAACTTGGCCCATCTCCTAGTTGAGGTGGAATTTGCTCTGGTTTGGGGGGGGGGGGGGGGGGTTTGAACTCTGAGAAAATGATTTTGTGTTGAGAGTCATTCTGAGGCCGAACAAACAAACTAGTTCAAGCTTAGCGATCAAATATTTTATAAGAGGCTGGATAGAAATGATTTGGCCTTGGCCTAGCTGGTCGAGGACTAGTTTGTAAAATACTTCATATCATATTAGAATCCAAATGTGATTACCTTTTTATTGAAATAAATAATTTTTTTTTGTCACGATTATTATGTTAACATGATATTTCCTCTTAAAATGCTAAAGTAGTGTTTTCACTTCCACTGGGTCCTTTTAAATAGGAGTAGAACTTTCAATGGGTCCTTTTAAATAGGAGTTGAAGGGTTCATTAGTACGTTTTCTATCTTTTCTCTTAGGGTTCTATCGCTCTACTTTTCCTACTCATTTTCCTCTTTCATTCATTTTTTGATGGATCTAAATTGAACTTCCCAAACTTTTGGTCTGGTAGATGCAACCATGCAGTCAATATTGTTTAGGTCCAAGGTTG